TAAATTTAAGTCTAAATTCTGTACAATGTAACCATTGCATTACTTTCAAGGGATAATTTGAACTATTCCTATTCTGAATTATTCCGAATTACGTCTGACAGCTGTTACTTGTTTCTTTCCTCAAAACTCTACCAGCTTAGATAGTACTTTGTTTGAAATTTTCTCTCCAAACGATCGCTTTCACCCAGATGGTCTCACTTTCCTCAAAAACTAGTAGATTGTTTTTTGTTTCGATTCTACTCAAATCAAATTTGCACCAAATTTGCACTCATTCAAGATTTTCGATCTTATAATCCAACATTTTCGAATTCCTTGTGTACTTTTGAAGACACGTGCCCGAGTCGATCAGTATCAGATCAGAGGCATAAGGCGGTGGTCTCTGTCGGATAAATCCCCTTCTTTACTCTTTCCTTTCACTGCCCAAACATTGGGAGTTCCGTTGAAGAGGGGAGAGTGTTGGGTGGTCTGTCTGTGAGTCGACTTTCTCTTTTCCTTTCGAATCTCTCTGTCCGTTCACTGATCAGTCTGTCATCTATCCGTCTTAACCTTTTACCCTTTCAATCTTTTCTCCTGAATTTTTCAAATGTTAGATCAAATTGGGATTGTCTTAGACTAAAAGTCGATTATTTAAAACATCTATCACAAAACCCAGTAGTTAGATGTCTCTTAAGATCTTAAGATTAACGATATGATCTAAAGCTTTCTGTTCTATGCATTCAACTCTCATCAATCTATATCAATCTCTCTCTTTTTACCAAGTTTTCTGACTTAAACTTTGCTGAAATGTTAGCTGCTGTTTTAACAAGAAATCTAAAGTTTTCTAGTACGGTTTTCAAATGCTTTAAACAAATTTTACTAAATTTTCCCCTATTATTATTACTAAACTGATCAAGTTCGATCCCAATCGGCACCGTCCTCTTCTTTTCCCTTACAATATTTTTTCACATCTGTACACACAAATTTTCGTTGTCCAAACTTTCAATGATCCGTGTAGAAAGCCAAGAAAAGCTCTCGAAAGCCATCCCCGCTTTTTTTGCCTCACTTTTTGCAGCCTCATAAAATTCGGTGATAGAAGAGGTTTTGTGAATTTCAAAGAATTGGTCTTTTTCATGTTGAAAACTAGACAAATATAGCCATCATGGAAAATTTTAGTCCTAAATTTCGTACTTCTTTGGGTTGTCTTTTCAAAATTGGGTTGTCTTTTCGGATTAGAGAATGAGTGAGAAAAGGTGGGGAAACGATAGAACATCTGCTTGGGGAAATTGAATTTCGGAGTTGATTTTGGAGTTTGTATTATTTGGAATCATTATAGCATTTCTCATATTACAAATAACAAATAAAACTTAGAAATGAGTATTCTAAAAGCTTTAATTGAAAGCAAGATACGCAAAAAAACTCCAATTGAGACAACTTTAAAAGTTCAGCTTCGCATTTTGCAGCTACAATCTTATTTTATCTTTCAATCTTAGCTATCAAATGTTCTACAAAAGAATAGTACTGTAACTTTAGCCATAATTTAAATATAAAAGAACTTTCTTCAGTCCATCTTGAGATTTGGCAATTTTTGCATTAAAAAATCGTAAACCTACGATTTTCCCTCCAATCAACAATCTCATTGAAACCCCATTGAGAGTCGGTAAATTTATGTGAAAACTGGAATCGTGCAAAAACATGACAAATTTGTGGTGCTCAACATTTGCGGTGAAATGGATAAATGACTAGATGAGTTCCACTGGAGAGTTGTTGGTTGATGGACGGGTTTGTGAGGGGAATACTACCTCTCTCTCTCCATTCAATTCCCTTTTCTCTCTTTTTTCTTCTTTTATACTCGGGAATTTAGGACGATTTTCTGTCTTGTGTATTCCCTTTTGATAGTTTAAAATTGAAACATTGAAAAAATGTCTTTAAACTATAACTTCTTTTTATCACGATGATGGTTTTAAAGGCAAATTACTATAGAGAACTATTCTAAAAGTCTAAAATTGCCTAGTTTGCTCAAGATTATACTTCCAAAAACTACTAAAGCTTTGAATTTTGCACTCTGAAGACGTAATTGTGGTTTCTTAGACTCAACGAACTCCTGACTTCTGCCCTTTGCTGTCCTCCCCAATTCGAAATCAATTTAAAGTCCGTCCCAATGTTTTTTTTCCTTTTCCCTTTCGCAAACAAACAAGCAATTACAAGAGAGGCAAATGCTTCGTATTCAAATCAGTAAAACGTGGCTTTATTGTTGAGCTAGTTCAATGATTTGTTCTTAACAAAATACCGTTTATTGTTCTTTTTTGTGCTGATTGTTACTTCTATATTATTGCTGGAGAAATTCCAGATTAGATTTGGTTATTACCAACTATCATTTCTTATCAATTTTGGTATCATTTCGGGAATTCATGCAAGTATTTGCCCGTTCTAAACTTTAAATTTCGATTCCTTTCAGCGAAAGCTTTCCTTTTCACTGAAACGATCCAAAAGTGTTCAATTTATACGAATCATCCTTTTCTCCTAAAAAAGAGAATGCAAATTGTATACAAGCAACGGGACGACTGCTCGAATTTCGATGTGTGGCAACAATGAAAAGGGAAAGAGGGACAAAAAGAAGAAAAAGAACGGTTCATGTCATAATTTGGAGAACGGGGGTTACCTGTTTGTCTTTTCTCTTACCCGTATGTTCATCGATGTTAATCATTAGTATACACATGCGTACAAATTTGGAGACTCATAAACAATCTCTTTATGTCTCTTTGTTTCAAATTTTATTTTGTCAAATTTACAGTTCTTGAGGCTTTTAAAGTCATAGTTGAAAAGTTTCCTTGTATACAAATTTGCAATTTGCATACAATTTGCATTCTCTTGCATACAATGCAATTTGTATACATACAATTTGCATTCTCTTTTTGTTTCTACCTCTAACTCTTTTTGACTGCATTTTAACACATTCTGCGTATCTCAATCAATTTTGGCAATCTGTTTTACCATGCAAAGTTCATTTCACTTCATTTCTCCTGTCACTTCTCCCAACTACATCTTCAATATTTGTCTAATCCCAATTTTCCCCATTTCTCATTCCACGTACGTTGCGTGGCTGATGCCCTTTATGACGGTCATTCCACCGCCGATCGGGCATCATCGAGAGCCCTTTTTTTTGTCACACGATCACTAATTTCTGTGCTCATCAAGTGGAAAAAAAAGGAAGAGTTGTACAATACATTTCTTATAAATCATAGCTTTTTACTATATTTTTCAGTCTAATCAGTTCTTATTGTGTAATTTTTTTTGAGTGAGTGTAAAATGTATGCTATAATTGAATATTTTATCCCTTATTGTTAACACTTTGGCAATCGTTAATGCTTACATAAGGAATAAGATTTATAAAAAACAAACGAGCAATCAAGTATAGGACTCACTAGACATGGGAAAATTCTAATCTGAACCTAATTCTACTTTCGTTGTCTCAACCGTCTTTCGGCCGATTGCTCGGAAATTTAGTAGAGAATGCCTGAGAATGTAGAGAAAAAGAGAGAATGAGAAAAACTACAAGTAGAGAATGCCAATTTCTATTTATAAACAAAATTTCAGAATAATTAAGAGACAGCTGAGAAAACGAAGGCGAAGTTAAGTTTTGTTTGAAATTCTCTATGTCTAAAACTCACTGATGCAGTCCGCTTTGTAATACTCAATCACTCAAAAAGCTCTCCTTATAAATTTTTGATTGATTTTTAGACAAAGGGCTTTTTTTAGCTTATTCAGCTTTATATCAGCCTAACAAAGTTATCATAAATGCTCAAAAACTTGCAATAATTTCACCCAAAATACAGTTCCATCTGCGGGCTTTAGATGGGAAAAAGCATTACCAAAAGAATACAGGTTTCTTTCAATCTAATCCACTACAGTATAACATCAAAAATTTTAATCCGACGCTAAAAATGGATTGTTGAATGAGCGGTTGTCCTCCTCGCCCTCCTCCGCATTTCACCCAATAATTCCCAGGTAACCATTCTTTCCATGCTCTTCTCTTCTCATTCCCCATTTCACTCCTTCTCATCCCCAAAATTTTCCTATTCATAAATCCTAATTCTCATTGACAGTGTGTTCATTCATGCAGAAATCGCATTCAAAGTTCAAAGCTGATTTTCTCGAAATTTTGCGATGAGTTTGGGTTTTGATGGCTCCAGAATTGTTTGAAAAGTATTTTCTAATAAGAAACGAATCCGCAAAGTACCAATCGTTTTTCTTCATTTCAATTGTGATTTGTATTTGTATAAATCCTTGACCATCATCACTTTTTCCCTTTCTGAATTGAGATATCCACTTTTCGCACTTTTCTCCATTCCTTTGTGTGCTTTTGATGAAAAGCTGTCATCTCCACTCCTTTTGCTTTTTTCGTTTCTTTTCTTCTTCCATATTTTCTTTTCAATCTCATCACTTTTTGCTTACTTTCTACTCGATTCCGATCTTCCGAACTTTATACTCGTAAACACTTCATCACATTTTAAAGACTAGATAACTACTGAGAATTCTTTTCTTCTTACATTCAAAATTTCTGTAAAGTATAAAGCTATCTCACTAAAGTATACTGAAAATTTACGGTGTTTATCCAGAACGAATCAAACAATCAAACCAATGAACTCAAGTTTTCTTAATTCTTGAGCTAATGTGGAATTCTTACTCCAAGCGAAAAAACTTGCAAAAGCGAATTTTCAAATTTTTCAATAAAATCTAAAGGTGTTTTAGCTTTGAGAACTGAAGACTTTTATTCCGGTTACTTTAGTGAAACAAGAATTCAACATTAGCTCAAGAATTAAGAAAACTTGAGTTCATTGGTTTGATTGTTTGATCCGTTCTGGATAAACACCGTAAACATTATGTTTTTTTGTTTTAACTCTCTTTCAGCTTGATCCTTGTTTGCTTTTAGATAACCCTCTTGTGATTCAACGTTATCCTGGTCTACTTTTATGCCAATATTCTGAAAACTTATTCAATTCATCAAAATCAACCATGACGATATGCTAATCGTGCTCCTCTTTGGGGTTTTCTTCGGTTTTTCCGAGACGGCCCTCGAGCAACTCGCTCAATTCACACATTGGGATATTCTCACGAAAATTGATGGAGAAGTTTTGTGAGTTTAAAGATTTGAATAAAATATAGACGAATCTAGATTGACAACACCTGGCTCTCAAAAATGTTTCGGACTTGGGCTTAATTTTGGGACGGATCTCGACTCATCAACACATATCACTTTTCGAGGAGTTCGAGTAAGATTGATACGTTTGCATATTGCTTTACCTCAAAATTTTAGGGTCCAAACATCACCGAATCAGTTTCCCGAGAAGTAAAGACTTTCTGTGCAAAATTGGGTCATAAAGACTCGATCGAGTATGAGTTAATGCCCGTAATGTTGAAAGACTTTGAGACGATCAATGTTGGAGATGAACAACCGACGGCTAAAACAAGTGAGTTAGAAATCTAAAGTTAGTAAGAAGCCAAATATTTATGTACTTATAGAAGAAGCCGAATTGGATTACGAGTATGAGCTTTCGCGAGAGAAAACGGAGAGAATGATTGATTTGAGAACGGTTTTTGACGAGCTTCACAATGGAAGAGTGGATCAACTAGTGACAACGCAGATTTTACAAGAGGTGAGAAAATAGATGATTGTGGGAAAGTTGGGTCACCAATAGCCAGTTCCCCTAACTCAATTGAAGCTTTGAATGTATATCCATGCGTATTTTGTCCTTCAGAGTTTCTATAGAGTTACAGGCCAGGCTTCGGGAGGTAACGATCCAAGAATCAAGTGTAGAATCAATAAGCGAGATAGGGTCGCGCTCCCAAACGAGTCTGAACCTAGAGCTCCAAGTTTCGTTTATCAATACGAGTTTATCAAACACGCGTTTATTACACACCTAGAAAACGAAAAAATAGGAAAGTGTGAAGAAAAAGTGAGCGATGCGAAGTTCAGAATCACTAAGAACCACCAGTGCTCCATTTTTCCTGCCGAACTTCTCGCGGGGAGAATTTAAATAGGGCAAGAGAGGTCAAAAAGATATTCAGTTGGGTTCACTGAAAACCCAACAAAAAGGATTTAACATAAAAAGAACTATAAGACATTAACAATGTAGGCTAATTTCCGCCATTTTATTAGCGCAACTGGATCTTTTGCGCAATTCGCCATAACTTTCTTCTAAGTGGGTTAATCTTTGTGCTTTTGGTGTCATTTTGTTGCACTTGTTGAGATCTACAAAATGACACCAAAAGCACAAAGATTAACCCACTTAGAAGAAAGTTATGGCGGGTTGCGCAAATAAAATGGCGGAAATTAGCCTATCCTGACATTAACATTTTATCGAAATGTAGATGAGCTTGCCATTAACTGTAAAAGTTTCGTAGTGTCTCAAGATCAACATTTTTAGACTCTCACCGAATTCCTTGGGAACCATGTTGATGATTGGGCTTTAAAAAATGGACCTGTTGAGCTGGCGTTAGCACGGGTGGCCACAATCAAACCGGCAAAATGTGATAAACAATTGAATGTAAGTGAGAAGAGGTTTTGCTTTCAGAAAAATAATCTTTAAGCTTCAAGGTAAGCTTAAAACTAATAGATTTAGCGAAAAAGTCTTTTCTTTTACCAACAATCAATTTCAGGTGATCCATTTACAAGTTTGCGTGCCGGCTCTTGACTTTTTCAACACAGGAAATATTGTTGAGGTAAGCTTTAGAGTTAGCATTTAAGATTTGAGTTAATAGCCAAGCAAAGATTACCCTAAAGTCGCGAGTATAAGTTCTGTTTGGTTTTCGCATGCAAATTGACGGCTGTCTCCGGTGCGGTGTGTCGAGGGTTCGAACCCCGCTGCAGCATAACTTTTTTGCTTTTTAAGAACAATGATAGAAGTAAATTTATTGAGGGTTATAGCAATTTTATGCTGTTATTTGTTGCTCCGGGCGTGGCTCGGCGCGTACGCCCTGCTCCTCTCCGGTGCTCAGTCTTATGGATCCCTCTCTGGCCTCTTCATCCGGCCAAAGTCCACGTCGACGGTCAAAAGAGATGCTTTCCAGCGTCTTCTTCAACACTATCGTCTGGATGTATCGATGCACATAACAAATAGCAATGGTGATAGGCTGTCACCCTGTAGTATCTCGCGCTCCAAGAACAATAATAAAAGTTTATATAACAATAAAAATGTATAAAAACCCAACAAAAAGAAATTCAAAGCAATTAAAGCGAATGTAAATTAAGGCAGAACTTATACTCGGATCAACTTATACTCGAGACTTTAGGGTACTCTCATTTTTTTGATTTCAATTTTACAAGAAACTAATCTGTAACTCGATTTCTAGATCGTTCACAAAGGTCAATTTGTCACATTCAACAATGAGACATTCTACGCTCAAATCTCTCTTCCATCTCATGTTTTTGTTCCATCTGGTGATGGACGAATTGTGCCAATTGATGTGAATCAATGCAAAAGACCTGTTAGTTAAAAAAACTAGGTTTAATCTTTGAATAATGTTGAATTTCAATATGATCTATTGAAATGAAACAAAAAATTGTACGATTTTTCCGACCCAAGGAACGCGATCGAACACAGAACTTGGTCTAATTGAATCACCTTATTCTCGCTCGTTTCTGCAACCGAAATGCTATAAACAATCATTCCAGTGAATAACTGAGCTTTTTTTGCACAGGGCGGGCTCGAACCAGGGCTGTGTGAGAGCGGAAAAAGACCGCTAACCAATACACCATAAAGACAGGTGGCGACAAGGCCATTTTAGCGGCAATAATCATCAATTTCTCAGTGAATGGGTTGTTTTATGATTAGAATTTTATTCATTTTATGATTTTTTTTACATTTTCAGACTCGCCACGATTTCTTTTGTTCTCCGAATGCTTTACTATCAAATAATGCATGTCAACCGCCATTGTTAAAGAATTGTTCGATAATCCTTTCCGACTCAAGAATGCCTGCAAAAGTTCGAGAGTTCTCCAATGGATATCTCGTCAGATCATTTAAAAATGTTAGTTCTGTAGAGTCGAATTGAAATATGAATAGTTTCAGAATGTTGAGCAAATCTGTGGAAATCACACAACAAAGATGATCTTCCCGATGCCATTAAATATGTGGTGGAGACCAGTGGATGAATGTTTATACACAATTGGAGAACACATTGAAATGCCTTCACTCGATGGAGTTGGATTCGAGACTTTCCTTGAGAATCAGGTGAAAATAACAAAATTTTATAGCTATGAAAAAAGCTTTCAAAATAATACACAAATTTCAGCTCCGCATCGAGATCCTTCCCAAAGCATTGGATGGATATTTCTATGAACGCTTACCTGGACCAAAAGATCCACTTTCCCACTATGAAAGTGTTTGGCGACATCAAAGAAAAGTTAGCTGAAGAGCGGTTATTGAAAAATTTCAAATCTAGTTGCTCTATGTACAATCAGTAAATGGGAACACACTGATTGTTGGCCCAGCACAAGACAAAGCGCAAAAGAGTAAATCGTCAACTGAAGGTTGGTTTAAAGAAATCTAGAAATAAGATTAACCAAGTAAAGCTGGGAAGTATAGTTATTCGTTCCTGGAAGCTGGGAAGTATAGTTATTATAAACGGATGTGGACTAGAATTTGGGTTAAGTAAAAGAGAGTGGATCCCTTTTGATATCCCGCCATCTCTAACACCCCGACAACCCAACTCAACTCCTCCAACGTATTAGAGGGGAGTCCCCGTGAAATGACCGACCTGTACTGCAGTTGCATAGACCCGGAAGATATGTGTCTTTATTTACAGTAGTACAATAAGACGAATAGATTACAAATGAGTGTAAGGGGAAGGGGGGACTCCAAATGAGAGTCTCACTTGTCCTCCTAGGCAATCCCAAGGACCGCCCCTTCTCGGCAATAAAAGGGATAAGCACAGGGGAGGGCACATTTGTATAAGAATAGACAAATGATTCAATAATAACAATAGTAACTAAAATATCAGTTTGGCTCGGAGCTGACATAGTAGAGATAATAGAAAAACTTAAAGAGTACATAACAGATTGGCGAGTTGAATAGGTAGTTAACAGATAATGAGCACAACAACGAAACCAATGCACTTCAAAGCCTAACTTTAACGATAGTCAACCGATAGTTCAACATCCAATTTTAACGATAGTAAGAGTTGGTTCCAAAATGAAAAATGAGACAAGATTACCCGGACACAAATAAGAAAATAACGCTTTATGTTAGCCAAAAGAGAATTTTGTCAAATCTTTTTTAAGAAAACTATTTATAAAGCTAAAACTATTGAAATCTATAAGAATTCTAGCATAAAAGCATTTTTGTAACGTATAAAAATTGTTTTTCACCCCTGAAGTCAAACAAAATTTATAAAAAAGCGCATAATTTTTTTAGTTATGGCTAAGAAACATTTCAAATATGTAAACGAATCAAAGTAAAAACATCTTTTTCAAAATTTCTTGGATAATTAGTGAAAAGTTGCTAAAAAGCTAACCATTCGGCCTTAGCTTTAGCTGACAAAACTTGGAATATTGTAGAATATTTTTAGAGAGCATTTCCTGTTATCGAATAAGCTTATCTCTATGTTCAAAAGTATTGAATTGTACTAGCAAAAAGAATTAGACAGTTTAACCCATTGTGCGCTGGATGTATGAGTATGAAGTATGAGTTTGGGTAATCCTGCCGCACCCTATAATATTCCGGGCCAATCCAGCCGAGGAAAGACCAGGACCAAGCCGAAAGTCAGATCATAGCCTTGCTTTGCTGTAATCTTAGCTTACAAAAGTTTCTGAGGCGGTCAAAAGCCAGATCTAGAGCTGACTTCTTGCAGGCCACAGGTCAGGTTGGAACAGTTCTATCAGTCGAGTATGATCCACAAATTTGTTTCAGCCTACCGTCCTCAACAAGAGCCAGTATACGGCCAAACGGTGACGCCAAAAGAGAAGGTCGGTCTCTTCTCCGAGCCAATGTTTCTTTTAATGCTTTTCCTTTCACTTCTCCTCAATGTGATCATTCTTGTCGTTTTTGTCGTTTTCGTTCTCGCTCGTCCCAGACATCAGAAGTTAGCTCAACATATGTAAATTTAAAATAAAAAAAAAACAATAATGTTAATTGTCAATCATAATAACTTTTGCATTTTTTTCACTTTCTAGACCTCATCATTGTCTTTTTGGGTGCTTTCAATGCAAATTTCTCTCTATTTTGTCCATAATTTGTATCCTTCTCAATGAATTTGTCCAAAAATAACGGGGATTTTATCAAAAATTGTTTATTTACAAGTTTTTGTTCTCACCTTGGCCCGATTAGGGTACACGTATTAAATGTAATAAAAAAATGAAAGAAAATAAATATTTAAAAAGTTTCCATCAGAAAAACCCGCAAAAGAATCAAAATTTAAAAAAAAAAGAATTTAAACAGTGGACTTTGATAGATTTTCGTGATCAAAATCGACGATAATTTGGATATTTTTGGCGGTTTGTGGAGTTAGAAATTGGGTGTGAGTGGATTGAGAGCTTTTTGGACGGATGGGGCGACTGAAGGGAAGATGGTTGATGGGACTGGTGCGGTCTCTGAAAATCAAAAGATTAAGCACATCTTGGAGTAGCGATAAATTGCTAGAAATGCACAGTGAGCTGAGCTTTGTCATGGGTCGGATCAAGAAACTTGCCAGTTTATGCTGAAACAAGAAGCAAGAAGCATGCCACTTGGATAGCCAAGTGGCATGCTTCTTGTCGTTAGACTAGCATAGTTAATACAGCAAAACTTTTGCGATTCTTGCCAACTGCTTGTTTGTTTAGTTATGTAATTATTGGGACTATTGGAAAAAAAACGCGAATCAAATATCAAATCACACACCTGTAAGTGATGGCTCGATCTGCTCGGAAAGAGCTCCTCATCGAGCGAAACGAGGCTCGGAATTGACGCCCAAGCGCTGTCACCATGTGTTGAGAATCGGAAAAGAGGGAGGCACGTCTAAATTTAGAAGGTTTCTATAAGTGTTTATGATTTGACAATACTAACCTTTTAAAAAGTCTTAGATAAATAACTTTAAGTCTTTGACCTGAAGCTAAGACTTGAAGCTTTCAACCCATTCTTGTGCGCCAAAAGCATCAAAAGAGTGTCTTTGGAAAGTGACTCGCAAGAAAAATTGAAACTTTATGAAAACTTGTTATCAAGATCGGATAAATGCAAATTGCACTACCAATCTCAATACCCAAATTCACTTAAAAGGGAAAACTTTTGCATACATGGATAAAAGGGTGAAGTCATGCTCTCGATCCGGGAATGGGGGCGACTGAGCAGAATGATGAGTGTGTAGCAAGGCACGGATTGGATTGAAGTGAATGGAGGGGAGATGCTATCGACACAGGATACTGCGCATCGGACTCACGAGGTGGTCGTCGGATTTCTGTAAATGGGAAAACAAACATTAACGGAGAACAGGCTGGGGAAATGGCATTCCAAACGTTTTACCTTTAGGGATTTTGATCAACTTTCAAGGACTATAATGCTGTTTACTTTAGCTTTTCTGTTTCTGAGGCGATTTGTTTTTTAATACTTGAGCTATTGTATTTTGTTACATAGTTTAAACTGTCAAAAACTGTAAGTTCTTAAAGCATTTTCTAAAAGATGGGTCATTTAGGAAGCTACAGTAATCTTTCCTTCACGTTTTGTCCAATTTACTTAACTATGATCCCATTCGATTATAATCAAAATTCAGTAAATCAGACTAAATCTGAAAAGAAGTTTACCGTAGTTTTCCAAACCTTTTAGAAAACGCCAGCTAAGCGTTTAAACTTATTATCAATAGGCAAAATTATAAACATGCTAAGCATATGCTACCATTTGACTATTTGATGAAATTTACATTTAAAGTTTATCCAGAACAAGTCACTGATATAGGATTTCAGATTCTGCTTCACTCAAGTCAGCCGTTTTCCCGCTTCCCAGAAAATCTGATTTGATTTGATTGACTTTTACAAATTATGATTCATTTAGCCCAAGTCACGTTTAGTAACTAGAATTCGATAATCCGCTTTCAAACTTTTGAATGAGCCCATCAACTACACCAAATCCCCTAACAGATTGTGTTTTGGAGTCAAATGGAACACTGAAATGTGAAATGTTAAAAGAGAGAAACCCCAAACATTCAAGAAAGAATAAGCCACGGCAATGATCAGAGCATTTCTTCTCAAAAAAAGCACCTATTCGGGTATCCGACTGAAGAATATTCCATTGCCACCCCACTCGTGTAACTGAATCGATTCGGCTTTTTCGGGGTACAACGAATCCATTGATAGTAGATCTCGATGAATTCTTGGCGGAAGTTTGTGTTGAGGAAGCTGGAAGAGGATTTAATTTGGTAATTGCTTTAGTAAGAGCTAGGAACAGGGCTGTTCCTAGGCTGATTTTCCAGAACCAAGCCCATTAGTTTTGCTCGATTTCCCGTAAATTCCAGACTATACCGAATCAAATCTATGGTTTTAGGCTAAATCAAACAATAAGATCGAAATTCCAGGCCAAGCCTCATTGTAACCCATTGGCTTTGCCTAGTTAGGCATGGTAACCGGCTTTTGGAACAGAGCTGGTTACTAAAAGTTCAACTATTTCTATAATTCTTGTTTTTTCTTGCTTTAAACTTTAAACCTTGCACTCACCCGTAGAGAAACGGATTCACACAAACAGAGAGCATCGACAGCACTTTGCACGATTGATCAACGTGTTCAATTAGAGTTGTTTGCTCGTCCTAGACATAGGGAAATAAGATGTTTGCTTTTCTTTTTCAACCAACCGATGAACCGCTTAGAATACCCAAATCGAGTAGCATTGTGACGACGGTGAATGGAAGCCAGAGAATGGCATAACTGCCAGCCATTGCAACGAGAAGACCCGTCGTTCTTGATCGCCTCTTTTTGCTTGCCATTTCCGCTGTGCCAGGCCGAGAGCGATTCTGCTTACATGGAATCGGGGATAAGCACTCGGGTGTTCGCTCACTGACACTCTAAAGCAAATGGATTTAACTTTTATGAGTTGTGGACGAACGATAAAGTTTAGTCCCTCAACCTCAACCTTCAACCAGTCTACTCCTTTTTAGTTTCTCAATCATACTTACCAGTCAAATATTAGTTGTCACAACTTATTTACTCTATTGGTTAAAGAATACTTCCGAGGTTAAAGAATAGCTTTTCCTCGCCAACAAGTTCATATACAAATTGATCTTTGGTATCTTACTTCAATTCAATTTAGTATATTTTAGCATAGTTTTAATATGGTTTTGAATAGATTTAAGTTAGAATTAATGAGTATAAACCTAATAAAAACTATTTTCCTCATCTTTACCAAGCTAGAGGCATGTTAAGGGAAATTACATTTACATTTATCCTGTTTTAGACACAAGCAAAAATTTGAAAGTACCGGTTGGAGTAGCTTATTTATAGTCTCTTAATCATAGGATACTTGATTACCAGTTTAAAGTCAGTTAAACTCAAAGTTTGGCCTTGATTTACCCTGTCTGTTGGAGTGAGAAGATCCCTCGATCGATTAAGTCGATTCTTGCTCATCTGATTCGCGTTGTGCTTCAAGAAACGCGTCAACTTCACGTTGAAAATCGAGAGAACGATCAATGGGATCACGTAGAGAAAAGCGGCTTGCATCACTGACATCACTAACTGAAAGGAAAAGTTTAACGTAATGTTTACTAGTAGGTTTTTAATTGTTTCGTTCATTCAAACCTGTAGATCATTCCTTGACCCCGATGTGATTTGACACTGTTTCCATCCGTACGATCTCATCGTCACATTCGAGTCTTGTAACACTTCGAACACATTTAGATCCTGAATTCCCATCTTTCCCTGTTATTTTCAAAATCGATTCTCAACAGAATTATCAAAGAGTAGGAGTCTTTCCCCTTTCATTAAATTTGAGTTGAACCCTCATTTCTATCATCATTTTTTTTGCATCCCCCACACAGAGATAAATATTCAACGAATAATTGGATATCAAGAAAAAAAGGAAAAGAAAGAAAATGAGACTCACCTTGAACACAAAAAGCATCGTCGTATCATAAGAGACGAGCAGGGGAAGTGAGAGAATGAATGAGACAATCCAGATGAGAATCGATAGCCAAGCAGCACGAATTAGATGACGACGAGATGAAGACATCAGTGAGAGACGCTTCACTGAGTAGTACCTGGAAAGATTGAGGAATTGTTGAGGTTATGTTTTTTTAAAGTTTGCCAATTTCAATCCTACATACAAGTAAAGTCAAAACTTTCACATTGTGCAGAACATTTGCTAACAGAACCTGTCAATGGCCATCACTGAAATGGTGAGTGTCGAGCAATAGACATTCATTCCCGGCAGAACATTTGCCAATTTACAGAATATGCTTGAATATGGGAACTCGAATTCGATTGATGGAAGCCATAGGAAGGGAATATTTGTCACAGCTAGAACCAAATTCGACAATGCCAAGTTCAAGATGAGTACATTTCGATTCGTTCGCATCGATTTCTTTCGGCAAATCACGTAGATTACCTAGAAAAATATTAACTTTTCAATTAGTTCTAGATTTTTCTTTTTCTTTTTCTTATATCTATTTCTTTCATTCACAGTCTTTTAGCTTTTTCAGGAATTGTTTGTTTCAAAAATCGTCTATAGTTGCTTCGACTTTGCACCTCAAAGCACAAGATTTTTTAACTCTCAAACTCAAGAGTGGAAAAAGAATTGAGAATTCTCGTTCCGGCTAGAATTGCAGAAAAGGAGAAAAAAATTTTCATTTAGCCGCATCTTCGGCATCATTTTGAAGAGAATGAGACAAAGAAAGCAATGGGATTTCCCCCGTTTTCATGAACGATATGGGAAATGACCTCTTCCTTGTTGTGTGGTCAAGAGTTTTTCTATCATTTGATGACATCATTGTTTTGGCTCATTTAAAATGTTATCTTAATCAAATTTTGACTCAATTTCTTCCCTGTTAAAGCTACAAAGTTTGACTTTTGATAAAGACTGATCTTAGGACTAAATTTAACTATGTGTATCTATGGTTTAAAGGCCTAGACTTAAGGCCTAGACCTGAGGCCTAGACTTAAGGCCTAGACTTGAGGCCTAGACTTAAGGCCTAGACTTAAGGCCTAAAGGAACCTGAAGGACCAGCCAAAGTTTGCATTTGCTAAATTCCTTCAGGAATTTAGCAAATGCAACTTTGCAGTTCACTTGACAGACAAATTCACATTAAGTACACTTTGCATTGCCAAAAAGCTCAATGTTTTCCGACATAGTTTAAAGAAATTTTGAATCTCAGAATTAAGAGCTTTTGCGATCTGTCCCTTATTTTCTTAGCAAATTAGACCAATCCAAATCAACTTCCGTGAAAAATATTTACTTTAACAACTCGAAACTTTCCCTTCACCTTTAGCCTAACAAATCACCAAGCCAATAAGGCAATTTTCCCTCGAATCGCCAATTCTCAATCAAAACAAACACGACGATTTTCTCCACTTGCAAATCCCTTTCCCAATTAGACCCTAAAACATCCTATTCTCTCAATTTTCTTTCTACTACGGATATTTTCCAGAAATTCTTTTTCCCTTTTCTTAGAAGAGTCACAAATGATTACTCTCAAAAGTCAGTGTACATCAAAAAGTCTCGGATTGCTTAGAGAGAAAAAAAGAAAAAAAAAAGCATAGTTCATTCATTTGTTGAACGAACATCGAAAAACATAGTGTTTTCTCAGCGGTAATTTTATAAAAACACAATTTTTATGACTTTTCTGAGTTATAAAAGCGTTCATGTGAGGCCAAATGGATAAAATTGCGGATGAAAAATGACTAAATAAACTAAAAGTCATTGTTATGAGGGTTTTTCTCGAGAAAGGAGTGAATCAGCAAAATCAGTTATTCAGCTTAAAGTTTTTGAAAGTTTAATGAAGCTTTATGAAGCTAACAAAGCAATCTTCGATACATTTTGATCGAGTGGTTGTCTAACATTCCAAAGATCAAGAGTTCGATCCCGGTTGGGAAATGGAGCTCTACAAGTTTACAATTTATTTAAGCTTTTCCATTATTTCTAAAGTCTAAAACTTGACTCAAACTTCCTTGTCCTTTAAAAAACGGATAATTTTTTACACCTGGAGCTCTAAAATTAGGAACTCTAGGTAAAATTCGGAAAAGTTCAAATCTATTTCTAAATAGAGATCGGCCAAAAATAGTGTAATAGCTTTTTTTTTGTTTATTTTTCACAACGCATGAACTTTCCCTGTTCAATTTCCAAATTCAGAGTCCATTTTTGAAATCATTCTCTTTCTAATAATGATTCAATCAAATTTTTTTTGTTGTCATGTGATTGTCTCTCTTTTTTGAGCCGATCCAATGAAATTTGTACTCAGGGATTAGTTTTTATCGTTTTTCTTCTTTTTTTCGGAAACGAAACAAAGAATTCGGAGTTCCTGGAATTTAGAATCAAGTGAATGAGAGAATTGAGAAGAAATCATCAATCGTGTAGTTTACTTTTCACTTTTTCTTATGCTCAAAAAGGTGAGGGTGGTAAACAATCGGCTTAATAATTGTGTACTAAACTTGGTGGATCTTATCAGATTATTTAGCTTATTTGCGGGACGAATAGCCACCTAAAAGAAAACTTTGCAATAATCCCCTTAAATTGTTGATTGAAAATGAAAATGGAGTACTAGACTAGGTGGAACAATTGGAATTTGAATGGGGATGTGTTCTGGAACAAATTTGGATAGGTTTTTGGTACATTTTTTGGTACAGTAACACCAATATTCTTGTTCTTACCAGATTTAGCTATTTGTTACACCATTTTAGATGCTATTTTAATAGTTTCACTCCTTTTAAGACCCTAACTCAACACCAAATTTTCTGCAAATTCTAATCCACATGACTCCTTTCCAAAACTCACTTTGTAAAAGCCCAAAAACCGGCTGTTTCTAATTTAAAATGTGCAAAAAAGAGGCGATGAGAGTCGCCCACTCAAATATTAACACAAGAAAAGGAAACGAAGAAGAAGAAAGAGCTATTTTCGTTTTTTTGTGAACATTTTTGTGAATAAACAAGGTACTTAACAAAGTTTGCAACTTTTTAGAAGATTTTTTTTGAAATCAACTCACCAATCCATTACCGATAACGGCTAGGATCGAGATGATGATGTAGATCGTTGTGTAGGTGACCGCCTCCAATTGGCTGTACCGGCGAAGGGATCGTTTCAACTCATCGAAAATCTCCTGAAGAGAAAATTTGTTGTTGATAAGGACAGCTTGTCCCACTTTGCACAGTCTGTACGCTGGTTAGATTTGTGCTACTGACGAAAATCCTGTGATAACTGTGAACGTATCTTGTACTTTGTGCTTTCCCAAACATAGCCCCAACACCTTAACCAATAAATTAAAGTTTGAGGTGACCCAGAAAGGATGCGTTTACGCAAAGACTGTATCTCGTACTTTGTGCTTTCCCAAACACTGTCTCTCTGACTTTTTCTGTTAATAGCAGTAAATTAAGATGCACCAGAAAGTATGCGTTTGCTGAAGTACAAAATTTGATTCACATTTAGAATTGGATGTTTCCTCTGTTAGCGAAAAATAGAGGACAAGGTTTGACTGAGGTTTTTTAAAACTTATTCACTAACTCCAACTGATTAAGTCAACATTTGTTTCTTGATTTCTATAGCTAAATTTCTTTTGCCTTCTGATTAACTAAGACTTTTTAAAGAGCTTATTGCTTTTAAAGATTTAAAGGATTTAAAGATTATTGCTAAATGAATATCTCTATTTAAGTTTTTGAGACAAATTCATTCATGTTTCCAAAAAAGATAAAAACTCAGAGTCACCCCCGAACAAAACACCCTGATTCACAGAAGATAATCACATGTTTTTCATTCCAAAATCTATCAAAACTTTCTAATTTGATTAAACCCTTCAAAAACAGTCAATTTTTGAAAGTAGATGAGACGAGTTTTGGTCGATTCTTCATTTTATCCCATATAAAGCCGATTATCTCAATTCACTGACGGGAAAAGTTTCATTCATCAAAAAGAGACAAACAGATTTATTAAACATAAAAAATTAATCGCTTTTTAGATAAAACTACAAATCCAGCTTTAATTTTTAGATCTTAGTTGATTTCAGTCAATTTTTTTTGGAATTTTTAAAGAAATCTATAATTCTGGATTTATCCCTCTAAGAAATCCATCAAAATTTTCACCCAATATCTCAAGAAATTTGAAAATTTCAATCTTATTTGAACACAAGCCCCATTTTTTTGGTTAATTAAGAAATTTGTGCAAGAATTGAATGCGGGTGACATCTCGAGATGTCAACCACAGAAAATTGACCCCTTCAATTGGAAAAAGGAAAAGAAAGTAATGGAAAATATTTGTTTTTCATGAATTGAGCAACGAAATGAACGCTTAACTGGTTTGGTCAGTTAAAAGTTCATTTTTTTCAGGAAAATCTTAACAGAGATCGATTGGTTTAGATGCCCAAGCGGTTAATAGAGCTTTATGAATTCAAAATTGTATTCTAAACAGCTTGGGGTAGAATTTGATTACAAACTGATTGATCAGCTGGTTCAATTACCCAATTTTACAGTATTACCCCTTTGATCTTTTTGAATCTAAACTAAAAGAGCTGGTTCAAAAGGGAAAATCAAATCAATCAATCAATCAAAGTTATTTGTCCCATAGCTTTTAAAACTTTTCGATTCCTGTCAGAGCTATCAAATAGTTTGTCTTTTAGTCATTCTGTCAATCAGTCAATCAGTCTGTTTGAAGCTGTTTATGATAGGAAAGTTACTGAAATCTAGGCTCATCTTGGTTTAATTACCCAACCATTCACTTTGGCTATGATACTCTGATGTTAAACAAAACAAACTAATGACAAAGATTCCTTAAAAGTTTAGTTAATTCTCTTTTTTTGTTTGATTTCTTTTCCAATCTTACAAAGTTGCGGAATTTTAGTTCAGTCGTTCCCCCTTCCGCCCTCAAACAAATTCGATTTCCTCAATGGTGAATTCAGATTGAGAATGGGAAAAGGGGGAAGTTGGGGTTAGACTTTTTGAGGAAATTCTAGGAATTTCAAATTTATTCTTCACTTGACTTGTGACTTTATGGGATTTAGCGAAAAAAATGCGTGAATTGCTTTTAGATCAGAAGTTACTTTAAATGGTTTTAAAAGGCGGTTATGGATTGAAGCTGTTTATGATAGGAAAGTTACTGAAATCTAGGCTGATCTTAGTTTAATTACCCAACCATTCACTTTGGCTATGATACTCTGATGTTAAAGTTAAACAAAACAAACTAATGACAAAGATTCCATAAAAGTTTAGTTAAATGAATATATTTGCTGTAAAAACTCACTGTCAAGCAGCTGTGACTGAAAGGAGCCGTCCTGTAGTGTGAATCATTTGGTGAGACATGTCTCGGGCAATATTTATCAATGTCACCAATCTCCATTATCATAGGCTAAAATGAATTTTTCAGAAAAATCAGGTATGTGCTTTGTAGCTAATAATTGATTTTACAGGTGTTCTGAAATCAAATAGACCGAAAGTGGCATCAGAGATTTGAAAAGAGAAAAATGTTTAGGGTATGTACGGAGCCTGTTGGCTGTTGGCTTAGAAAAGTTATAAAAATCCTTAAAAACTTAGCTAAAAATATAGAATTGGATGTAGAGTTTTTCCAAAAGTTTTCCAAATTTTCTAACAAATCCCCAAAGCCAAACCTTTGAACATCCATCTCACAAAAAAAAAATCCAGTTTTTTTTCAATTGTAAAATGCTTTTTGATCAATAAAAAGCAATATTCGACTTTTTGACAGAGACTTCAGGTGAATTTGTATAGAATTCTGAGAATGGGAGAGATACTGCGTGGAAACGGTCGGTTTGGGCTCTTTTCTCTTTGAAGAGGCCTTGGATTCATCCCAGTTTCCCCCAAAGCCCCGCCCATTCCATTTTTTTTCTTTTTCCATTGAACATCATTATTCGAGTTCATTGCTAGAACTTTTTACAATAAAAAAACTCTTTCATAGAAAAATGTAATTACGATCAGTGGTCGGGCTCAATGCGTTTCTCGTTCTACTTTTTTGAGTCGTCTTAAAGTTGAGAGCAATTCACCAAGCTCTGAGATAACCAAGTTGACCACTTAATTCCGAATCTCATTGATTCACTAGGCAAAATAAGATCAAAATAAATACTAGGTCCGGCTTAGCTCAAACAGAACTGGTTTCTAATCAAATCAAAAACTAAAACGGATTTTGGTCTTATTCTGCTTGCCGGTTTGGTAAAACCGATTTTACCAAGCCAATATCAAGCAGTGCTTGGTATTGGTTTGGTCAAATCGGTTTTGCAACACAATAAAAGCAGTGAATTTACAATTTTCCAATTAATAGCTAAATACGCAATCAAAGACAGTTCGAATTCCAATGATCATTCTGAGAAAGCGACAGGTTTGCTCGACAGGTTTGCTCATTAGTAGTTTGGGAGTTTGTCAAAAAATGCAAGACTTACTCCTGCAAGCTAGATTCAAATAGAAAAAAACTGATTGGGAATTGCCGTTGAAATGAATCAGTATTTAAGTTTCGAAATTTTTTAGATTCATCTTTTTCTCTTCACTCTACCCACTCCTTCCCCTTTTTCTTTTCCCTTTTTGACACTTGACTGAATATCATTATTTAGCTTCATTATTGAGGAATTCCCTTTCTTTTTATGTAGATATTTTTAACTCAAGAAATAGGGTGATGTAATGTTTTCACATAAGTAAATCGAGAAAGCGAAAAAAGAAGCGAAAAATGAGACTTGTTTTGAAAAGGGGAAATTTATAAAAGAATTTTGTGGAACAACAAATAATTTGAAGTTGGCAAGATGGCAAGAATGGTGGAACGGAAGGGAAAACAATAATTAGGGGAGGATTTTTGGCGAGTGTCTGGGATTCTAGAGTACACAAAGAAAATGGTGGGTGGAGAGGAATTGATTTTTGAATCTTCTATGCAAAATGCAAATTTGAATCTAGTTTTCAACCTTAACTTGTCAGTTTTTTGATTTTTGACAAGAACAAAACGCTCGTCTATTCAAAAAGACTTGAAACTTGTGAGAATTTTGTGAGAAAAACTCCATTTTGAACTCAAATTTAACTGATAACATTTCCTTATCACATTAGCAAACAAAGTTATCAAATTTATCAATGAAGAAAGAAAAAAAGGCAAATGTATTTTGAATAAGAATAGCATCAAGTGAATGAATGTTTCCAATTGTTGGCGTAATTTGATCAATTTGCAAATCAAATCTTCGATAGAACTTTATAATAGCTGAGATTTGAAAGGTAATTGCGAGAGAACTTGGATGTTTTATTCAGTCAAAAACTCAAGACTGGAAACTTAAAATTTCAAAGGTTCTGTGGTTCTAAAGTTTCTAAATATTCTAGAAAACAAGAACCGAATGAGTCAAGCAATTTGAAGCTTTTAAAACCCGTAAAACGAATAGAATGCCATTTTGTCCATCCAGAATAAACTTGTAAATGCTTGCAAGCAAAAATATTTTTGGATCTGAGATGTTCATCAGACGCTTGACCATTCTTTTCTTTCTCAAGATCAAAGATGGATGTTGATGCATTGGAGAGGAGAAGGCACTTATCGCTGGAGATCCCTCATGCTTCCCTTCTTCCATCTCCCAATCTCCCCCTCCTTAACGTTCTCTTCATTTATCCCTTGGGGATCCCTCTAGAAGTCATTTCTCTAAAACTTTTTGCAATACCCAGATCAGCTTGAGTAATCGGATAAATAGCTGCGTTTTATCTTTTTGGGTGCAATGCTACATTCCAATCTTTCACAGATGTTTAAGAATAAATAGAAATTGTCCGAAAGATAAGGATTGTTCTAGTTCTATGTAAAAAGAAGCAATATGATTCTTACAAGAGTGTCCAATCGGGCCCTAACAATAGGCAGGCAATGCCAGGCATAGCTAAAGTCAGGCTTGGCTTCTGGTGGGAACAGGTACTGCAGCAAGACCAAGCCAGGTGAAGTTAAACACAGTCAGAAATCAGTGTAACATGCAAAAACCCTGCTTACTTTAGAATACAATTGTTTTACCGCAAAAATATTTGGCTATGAAAAGTCGAACAGAACAACAATTCGTTAAGAGACAATAAAATCAAGAATCGAAAATTTCAAAATACTTTTGTTGTTTGTATAAATAGAGAACTTAGTCTGTAACTTGCTGAAAGCCCAACAATTTTCTTACGAAAAAGCACCTGTCCCGAAATTTCGATCAAGATCTCACAAGTCACAAGTATTAGGTACATGCATAATAAATGCGGATTTCAACATTTTCATAAATTTTCAAATTTCCAATAGAAACGTGATATCGATGAATGTTATAAACTATTTGAAAGTTGTAAATCTCCTCTACAAAATAGGCTAAAACGTGTTTCAATTGATCGAACGATTGAAGAAATTTCGAGGGCGAAATACGAGTGACCAAAAAAGGAATCGAGTCACTTTAGGGACAAGTTTAGTGTGGTCAAAATAGAGTTAGCTTCCCAAAATTGAAGATTTAAAAAAAAAGGATAACTATATATCAATTCATTAAAAAAGTCTCACGGAAATGTATTTACAGAAATTTAGATAGAGCGTAAGTTCAAAACCCTCAAAATTATCAAAAAAACCGGCTTTTTCACAAAAAAGAAAAATTATTGTAAAAACAAAAGTTTTCCCATGAAATGATCCCAACTCTTAATTATTTTGAATGATATTTGAATCATTTTGAATGAAGGGCGCTCATTTTCCACTATATAGTCAAAACCGAACTCTTGTGAAAGTGGAGTTTTCAAAGAGTGCCTTTTTTGGTCACTCGCATTTCGCCCTCGAAATTTCTTCAATCGTTCGATCAATTGAAACACGTTTTAGCCTATTTTGTAGAGGAGATTTACAACTTTCAAATAGTTTATAACATTCATCGATTCTAGTTTATAACATCAGGTTTCTATCGTTGGGAATTTATGAAAATGTAGAAATTCGCATTTCTTATGCATGTACCTTAATAATATATTGCTTTCGTAAAATTTTAGAAAGCAGACAAAATTTTACGATATTTTGACACCAAATATAGTAGCTTTTTGAGAAAAGAGCCGACACTTAAAAAGTAAAACAAAAAAGCAACGACAAAATCGCCTTTGTCGCCAGAAAAATGTTCATTTCTTCACGTGAGGGCAGGAATTCTTTTGAAATGGGAAAAGCAATTAGAAAAAACCGAGTGAAACAAGGAATTTGAACGATCGAACATCAACAAGCAATTTTGAAGAGAGAAGAGATTAAGGAAAACAAATCAATCAATTACTTTCAAGTGTTTAATGGTCTTAACCTGAAAAGTCTTAACTTTCAAGAAATATTGGAAACAATGAGATCTATAGAACAAATGTTACTTATTTTTAAATTTAAATAAATAAGAAAGTTTTAAAATGATTTTGGGCAGTGCAAATCTAAAAAGTTCCCAACGATAGAAACCTGATATCGATGAATGTTATAAACTATTTGAAAGTTGTAAATCTCCTCTACAAAAGGCTAAAACGTGTTTCAAGTGATCATTTTTGTGTTTAAAATAATTCCAAACTAGTTTTAAAAGTTCGGCAATTTTTCTAAAATAGTTAAAAATGAAAATGAAAATGAATTTATCGTTTGTGACCTTCAAAATTACGCCTTTCAGTAAATACGACTTTTTAGACAAAATACCTATAAGATCAAACCGAAAATTTGCGCTTACTATGTGTTCCAGTCTGTAATTTTCCAAGAAATGAGCAGAAATCGATCACTTTTTAAGACCAAAGTTTTAAAGTCTTGCTTTCCATTTCTTAGAAAACGTGAGTAAAGCTCAGATTGAATCTAAATTGTTAAAAAAATCGTCGATTCGAAAAAATTTACGAAAGGATATAATCAAGGTTTTTTTTTAGTAAAAATGGCTTCAAATTGTATCAAGAACTTAAGATTTTGAAAAATTTAGACATGTCAAATGAAAGAGAAAACTCGTAAACCATTTGAACTCAATTTTTTTCTATTAAATAAATCTTGAGACGAATCTGATGCTTGAGCTTTAGGACAAAAAGTAGACCTTCATCAAAAAAAAAAAAGGAAAATCTTCTCTCAACAATGGAACATCGTAATTCTTTTCATGTTTCTTGAGTCATAATTCGATTGGGATCAAATTTTTGAGCCAATCTAGACAAAGACAAATCCGGCAAAGAGATTTTGATCGCGTCAAATCCCCTTTTTATCTTTTCTTTGTATTCGAGTTTAGAGTGAGTTCACGCCTGAAAAATGAAACCAAATCTACATCGGTAATGAATTTTTCTCTCTTTAACCCCTTCATCTCATTAAATTCACCGACAAAACACGTGAGTAGGATGAAAAAGAAAAACTAAATGATAATCGAATAAACTTTTTTTGTTTAATAGACTGAAAGTGATTTCATTAATGGAATTTATGAAACTTTTAAGAGAAATTGAAACATTTTGCGTGAGTAAGTTGAGCTTAAAGTTCGACTTTTCAAACAAATTCAATTATAACTTTTGAGTGATCATGGATTTGAAACTTTTCACGGTAATCACATGAGAACAAAAAAAAAAACGTCAAAGTTGGGGAGAATTTTTGCGTTTTCACAACACAAATTGTACAGATTTCCTCAAAAAGTGTGTAATTTTTACATTCTGAGTCAGTTATTACCTTTAGACGATCGATTTTTGACTCATCGAATCGCAACTTTATCTTTTATAAGATTTTCAAATGTAAAGCATACAAATTTGTCTGAAATAAGTCTGAATTGGTCCAAATTGGTCGGAAATAAGTCCAAGTTGCTTTAAAACATTGCCTATCTTTATACGGTTTAAGCTTTAAAAATTCTAAAGCACCGCTTAGTTTCCATAAGTCGTAACTGAGTTTGTCAATGTTACAGTACACAAATTGTTTCTACTGTAATCGTTGAATTCGCTTGAAGATAGGAAAAGAAGATTATGAACTGATAAAATGGTACAGAGATTTCGATGGGTTCATTTTTTTAGAGAGCTTATCGAAGCCGGCTTCGGTAAAAGTCATCGAAAGCCAAATCAAGTCAAGCCAGTGAAGTCAAGATTATGAACTGATAAAATGGTACAGAGATTTCGATGGGTTCATTTTTTAGAGAGCTTATCCAAGCCGGCTTCGGTAAAAGTCATCGAAAGCCAAATCAAGTCAAGCCAGTTCATCCAAAACACTACAGATATGAAATGTGGAATTTAAAAGAAAAATTGTTTATAAGCCAAGCATGAAGAAAACATGAGTTGTATGAAAAGTGTTGACTTGTAAGGAAAAACGTTATTTAACAGAGATTCGCCAAAAGTGAGCAATTGTGAGCTAAAAAACTGCATTTTTTTAGTCTCTTTCAAGAGCAATGAGAGCTATTTTCAACAAACTGCTTGGCTTTTGTTTAAAAATTTCAAAAACTCTAAACTTTTTCAAAAAAAACTACTGGATTTTAATGAACAAGCGCAAAAAAAAAACTAGCACGAGTCTCGAAAGCCAATTAAAAATAATAAATATAACAAGTTGAAAAAAGTTTTTTGAAAGAATAAGCGAATAAAATTAGATTCAAAAGGAATTTTGCATTCTTTTTTGAATCTTTTTAATTGGTGATCAAATTTTTTTATAAGATCTCGTCATAATTAACGATTTGAAAGGGTATTTTTGGCAAAAAAGAATTGGCTTTTTGTCTTTTTGACTGCGAAGAACGTTGATTCTAACAAATCCGCCTGGAAAAAACTGCTGATTTCTAATTCTTTTTGTATTTTTGGATATAAAAACTACAGTATTTTGCTTTTTAAATCGTTACAGGGTTTTTTGAAAGTTGTGAATTTAGTTCCAAAAACTCTCAAAATCTTGAACTTTCCATACTTTTAAGTCGGAAAACACTTGAAATTTGTTTTTATCCAAAATTCTCATCCAGAAAGTTTACAAAATTTCTTATTTGCTTTCCAAATTCAATTTCTGCAAAAATCCCCACGTGGGGTCTATCAAAAAAAAGCGGATTTGAGTTTTATCTATTGAAAAAATTTTAGGTAATCCTTTTCGAACGAAAGTCGGAAATTGAGGATAAATGCAATTTTTCTGGAAATGGTCAATTCATTTAGAGGTCGGCTTTTCACATAAATAGATGAGCTAAAAATGGCTTTAGTGTCACCAAAATTGCGGTTATTTTTGGAGTACTGCAAGTGAAGGAAAAAAAGGAAGGGATTCTCAAAAATAGCGGAAATAATAGTGTTCTCTGAACAGAAAATGGAGATGGAGGAGAGTTTTTAGCACTTAAGTGACAGGAGAATATGGAGATTTGAGTTTGAACTTTGTTTTTCTGGACTGTAGCTTATTTGGATGGAAAAACGGTATGGGTATTTGATAGAAGACGTTGCGGAGCTGGATCAGCCGGATTCTTTGTTTGAGTTCGACGTTTGAGAAACCGAAGAATCATACAATTACCCTTGTTTATTGATTTCAGATAAAACTATTCAGTTATTTAGCCAAATAAAGTCAGTCAAACGAAAATATTCAGTTATTCGCATGAGTCTAGACTGTTTATAACATTACAACTTTCAAATAGTTTATAACATTCATCGATATCAGGTTTCTATCGTAAATAACTGAAAAATAACTGAAAATCCCAGATCTAGACCCTTTTCTTGCTAACTATCCGTATCCGAAAATTTCAAAGTATTATCCGATCTAAAAACTGGACCCATCAGTTTCCATATCGATTCTAGAGTTCGATATTGAACTTATAGCGTATCAAAAAGGGGAATATCAAATGTAAAAGAGGTATTTAAAGATGGGCATAGAAAATTGAGATAATTTATCTCTACAAAAAACAAATCCAGTCATTCTCAAATTTTTCATCTTCTTTTAATTGAAAGTAGTTCCATTTTGATAGATAAAAGATCAAAAATGCTATCATCGATCAGTTAAACGTTTGATTTTCTTTGATTTACCATACAAGATTTTACCCACCTTTTCCGTTCCTTCCATTTTTCGTTCCTTTTCCACTCAATTTGGCCACTTTACGATCTTCTCTTGGTCAAATAACCTAAAATATCCATTTCAGAAGGAAACTTTTCAGTCACAAAATTGAAGAAAGTAAACGGATTTTGATTTTTGAAAAGATCTGAGATTGACGTGCAAAAAAAAAACGAAAAAATTAGGAACTCATTTGGGAATAGGAATGAACGAAGAAAGTTATTGGTTTTTCTCAGAAATCAGGCACAACCAATTTGTTTGTTTAGCTAATTGGATTGAGAGAATATAGCGAAAAAATGTAACGATACAGTTAAGAATTGTAAGAGGGAAAAGAAAGTTTTCGAAAGATCAAATAGTTTTCTGATTTTGGGGGAAAAATTACGAAGTTTGAAATTTAACATTTTCTCTTAAAAGTCCTCAAAAAGTCAGATTGAAAAGTGTTTGCTTAAGTCGTGTTCCACTTGTGAATCGATTGAAAGTCTAAAATGAACAAAGTTTTAAATGCTAAAAGAATCTCATGATGAATCAGATTTTGAAATTTCATTTTTCTGCAAATGTAAATCCAAAGAAAGAAACCCTAGCTTCGAATTCGAGATTAGAAATAAAGAAATGAAAAGATTGAAGAGAAGAGAAGGGAAAAAGGAGGAAACTACATAATGATAATAAAAAGAATGATGTGTTTATAATAAAAATGTTTCCTTTTGTTCAAAGAATACTTATAGTTCATCAAATTTTATTCATTAGTAATGGAAAATGTTTTGGAACAATCCTGGGTCTAGTAGAAGGTCTAGCTGAAAAGAAGCTTTAGCAACGCTACAAGCAGAAATATTGTGTAAGAAAAGCGAGCCAAAGAACAACCCTAACGCCTCTTTCATAGCCAAAAACTTGATTGCTTTTCTTTTGCTAGAAATTTGTGAAGATTGAGTTGTGTTTGGTTTGAAAACGAGAAAAAGATGAGACTCGGGTAAGTGGATTCATTTCTCAAAAACCCCTCTTTAGGGTAGAAAAATGGCAATCTTTGGACAAATTGAACTCCTTTTTTTCTCTTTTTGGAGGTTTCGCACGTGACTACGAAAAAAAGAATTGGAAATTTGAAAATCTCAAGGTTGAGAGAGGGGTTGAGTCAGATTGAAAATTGATACAAGCCACAAAATGAAACAAAAAAAATAATCAGCAATGTTTGAATGAAATGAGTGTTTATAGAAGATCTACACTACTGGACAATGAAATATCATATTTGAAAAAAAGATCGTCGCTTTCGCACGTCTGTAACTCCCTTGTCTTTACCATATTTCCAAATATTAATATTACCATTGTGTAGGCCTTGAAAAGAGCTTTTAGAAAATGTATAACACTAATAGTTTAAACTCAAAGACAACGGAGTTACAGAGGCGCGAAAGTGACGATCCTTTTTGTGAAATATGATATTTCATTTTCCAGTAGTGTAGCTGTCTGAGAAGCAATGCACAATCCGTATAAGTCAAGTTTGGTTTTAAGCTATGAATAGAAAACTCTGACACTCTCCAAGTCTTACTTGTCTACCCAAATGGCTAAGCCAAATCGCACTAGCTCTTTAAATTACTAAATTCCGATATTTTGTAGATCGACACGCTTTTTCCTCTTAAGCAATATTTTCTCTAAAACGTGTAAACTTTGGAAAGGAATCTTCTGATTTTTATTCAAACCAATCAACTTTTTAATCTGATACCGTTAAATACAAAAAGTATATTTATTTTTTTTACGAATAAACGTTCAAATCGGATTCGGAGATCCGTTTACGAACTAAACTTATCTTTAGATCTGATCCAAATGTAAAATAATGAAAATTCACGCATTTTAGATCGATTTTTGTTTTCATAATTATCACTCAGAAATCTTCCTCACCATCTGATTAATTTTTCAATTTTAGATCAATTGTTACTTCTTGATAAGCTAATTTTTTTTTATTAAAGATGCTTTTAAACTTAAGAAACGGTCCTCTGTCTTCTATTCCGAAAGATTGCTGAGGAAGGTGTACTCAATGTGCTCTAAAAAACGACAGCTATAAAAATGTGGAACCCAACTAAAATGTGCAAAAGTATGCAATTGATCAACAATTGAGAAATTTGATTTTTTGGCAAGGCTAAAAATGCCTGAATTTCCATTAACATTAGCATTTAAGTTTAATTTGTAAACGGACGTTTGAATCCAATCTAAAGATAAGTTTTAGTTCGTAAACGAGCGTTCGAATCGGATTCGGACGTCCGTTTACGAACTTAAGAGTTTAGTTCTTAAACGAACGTTCGGATCCGATCTGAACGTTAGTTCGTAAACGGACGCAACATATAGATTTAGTAAAAACTAGAGACACGATTACGGTAGTTTTAAAACATTGACAGGTTTTCTAAAATGCATTGAGACTTGGAGAATAACATAAGGAATAGGAATTGTTCTTGGCAATTCTTGGGGCTATGATTGGCAATTCTTGGCAATTCTTGGGAGCTAAGACTTTTTGGTTTATGACGAAAAATTCTCTCAAATATTTGATAATCACTATATTCAACCATTTTTAAGGGATTGATTTTTAAAAATCAAAAACTTTAGCTCTTTAAAAAGCTTTACGGAAGTTCGATTTAGTAATACAAACGACAAAAACAAACGGGCATCTCTACTTTGTGACCGAAAAAACGTAAAATCACACGAGAACAATAATCAATCTGTTATCGAAAAGTTCAATCAAAATACCCCCAATTTCCTCCAATTACAGAATCTAAAAAACATTTCCGTTTCACCAAAATGTCTAGCCTAATAAACGAAATCCTTTTTTCATTCATTAGCTGAATACTTTATCATGTGAAAATTCGAAAATTCGAAAAATTTGTGCAAAAATTGATACTTTAAAGTGATCTTTTGTCGGAAAAAAGATTCCCACCAAATTGTAGGCGTTTGAGAAGGGTAAAATTTGATGAAATTTTTACGTTTCAAATCGCGCGAAGCCAAGTAACTCGATTCTTTCTTTTTCTGACGCTGTCTACCAGGAAAATCTTTGAAAATGAAGAAAAAAAAATGGAATGAAATTTACGTAATCCCGGGGGAAAAAAAATTGGGAAAAGAATTGCGCAAATTAATTGATGAATGAAGCATTTTGGGAATAGGGAAATCAAATTTCGGAGTTTTGCACAAAGTTCACAGATCTGATGCATTAAAATGAAAAAGAAATCACGAAAAATGGGAAATCCAGTGTGCCAGATCTTCGATGTTTATGCTGACACTGTTCCAAAGCTGAGAGTTTATTGAAAACCAAGTCCCGTAAATTTACACCAACTTTGCACAGCTCTTGAAAAGAAGTGTTTTTTTTTTGTTCAAAAATTGAGTTCACTGTACTGAAGAGGTAGGCCCGAAGCCTAAAAGATGACACTTTCTAGCAAAACGCAGCTTTCGTGCACAATTTGACCTCATCGAAAATGAAATTCGATAAATATTACAATAATCTTGTCAAAAAATTCCTCCTAGGATCAACGACAATTAGGACACACGAGTCACACGATCTCCATCCAAAATAACAACAAAATCAGGCGATTTTAGCAAAACCCAGCTTTCGTGCACAATTTGATCTCATCGAAAATATTATATAAGTGCTAGGGAATAAGTGTTTACCAATGTTCAATCTGAACGCAAACACACTTGTTAAATTGTCCCATTGTTCAAAGATCCTTTCGAAATTCTTAGCAAAAAATTTAGCAAAAAAAAGCTTCATAACGTCAACAAAGAGAACTGGGAAATGATGGAAATTTTTGGAGGAAAGGGAAAATTGACGTTCTGGAAGAAGAGATCTCGAATTTCCTTTTTCGGCTTTTAAAAACGAGAAATTGGGAACGTTCTGAATGTTTCCAAGAATATTACAAATATTCTGGGGTTAATCTTTGTTCGGTGAAATGGATTATGTAGTGAATGAGGTTTTAAACGATCCGAAAAGCCTTTTTTAAGGTAAAACTCTTCAAAAACTTTCAATTGAATCAAAATTTGCTTTATAAACCTTTTGGAACTGGAGATTATTTGAAAAATTTCTTATCTTACAAAGCTAGACGAATTTTTCGTTATGAAAGCGTAGGCTTTAACTCTTGATTCAAGGAAATTCCTTAGATTCACCCATTTTTTTCTCTCGAAATCTGAGCACAGAAAAGAAAGCCAATTAGCCGGTTAAAAGATCTAGTTTAAGAAAGGTTTTCTGCTCAATTTGTGCTTTCGTCAGATGCCCAACGAAAAAATATGTGATGAAATTAAGAAAAAGAATCGATTTGATTTTGGGAGATTCACAAGAGAAGTACGATCAGAAAGTAAAAGTAAAATGAAAGTAAAAGTAAGAATCAAAATAAGCGATTCGGGTTTAAAGGGAGACGGCACCATAAAAATTACTTTAATCAAGTATTTATAACGCTTAATCTCCGTATTTTTGCTTCTGATCACGAGTTTGACATTAGAAAATATCGAAAGTTTGACAAGTTTTAAGAAAAACATGCCTTTGTGAGAGATTTTTCTTTCCGCGGAACCGTTAAACGTTAAATATCTCGGAACGGAACGCTAAATATCTCGCAAATCGCCTGGCTTTTGAAGATATTTGATTAACCAGTTCATTTTCACTTATATATTCAGTTGATTAATTAAATATCCTTAAAAGATTGACGAGATGGTAAAACATTTATGGGAATGCCATCAATATACAAATGTTCTACGTTTTTCCATTGGTGCCGTGCTCCTTTAAGTTTTTTTTGGGAGAAAAGAAAAACTTCCCATAAGCAGCAAAGAAACTTATTTAAAACCAAGAGCATGAATCTGTTCATTTAGTTAAAACTATTTATCCCAATCGAATTTCACTTGCGTGTAATTTTTAATTGAATTTCTTTCAAACGATGTGAAAATTTCGCGAGAAAATTTCTCACGTAGAAGGTTAAACTTATTAAAATGTCTATATCACGAAATCATGTCAATAAAACGGTCATAAGCAAGCTACTTTCAAATTTCGAATTCAACTC